AGAGCAAGGATAGCCTGAACAAGGCTCATCTCGGGGAAAATACCGCGCAGTGCGGCAAATACGCGCTCATTTGCCATTGACTCGTGCTTCCAAGGCAGCAGGGGAATCGTCGAGGTCGGAAGATGATCACGATGGATAATTATCAATCCAAGGAGTCCGTCAATCAGGAAGTCAAAAATTTTTGTTGCCCCAGGAGGAAGATAGTGGCGGTGAATCGAATATCCCAGCCTTTGTAGGAAGAGCTTCCAGGTCTTCAGAAACAGACGAGTTCGGAGTGCCACCTTCGCCCGTCGTGCATGAGACATGATGCGACTCTCGTACGCATCAATCAACTCCCCGACAACGAAAAGAAAGACAACGATACCCATGTTGTCGTCGACATTTTCTGCGAGTCCATGGAGGGTGGCAGCGGAGAAGACCCGGTGTGCAGCATTGTCATCCTGGCGGTCAGCACGGATGACATCGCGCTCATACAGGGTGGGGTCGGGGACAGTCATCGCCATATCATATAGTTGCTTGTAGTGGACGACGAAGTCGCCGAGCACAAGACCACGTGCACCACTGAAAATGTTGTTTCGGGCTGTCTTGCGAGCATGCGGCGCATCTTGCGCATTGACATACACATTTCCTTCGAGATTGTAGAGCGGGATGCCGATGCGCGACTCCTCCGGATGGGTCGCTGGAGGATCTATGTTATATACAGTCATTGTACCAGCTGCTGCCACCTGTTCTTGGCAACTCCGCTCGACTGCGGCACCATCAGCAAGATTGCTAATGAAGCGAAGTTTTCGCTCGGCTAGTCCAGTCATAGCTTGCAGTTGGTATTTTGTGAGTTCGGAGGCACTGATCTTAGAGGCGATGGGAAGAATGGCGAATGCGAGAGGTGGTATGCCGGGAAATGGAATTTGAATTGTCCACAGGCGAAGCTGGAGAGCAAGACAATTAGAGCAGGTTCTTATTCACAGATCATCTGGCATACCTTGGTGGCCGGAGAGTGTGGCACGTCCATAAGCTTCTCCAACTCATCGGGCGTTGTAACCTTCAACTGACTTTCGCCCGGTAGCCCTATCAGAAGCCAAGTTTTCGTCGGTCCGTCGTAAAGCGGTTGCATGGCGGGGAAGAGTTTCGTGTCATCTACCGAGAGGCACAGGGGATAGCCAACAGGATACGCGTAGTCTTCACAATAACGTTGTACCGATTCGAAAGACTTAGCATTGATGCCGATGGGGAATCGCGGCTGCTTCGAAACACGGCTCCTGAAGGAAAATAAGCCGTGAGTCCCTTGAGTCATTAAAAGTGTTTTTGGGACAATACATACCGAATAGAGCGTTCGGTCTCCATCCGAAGTTCCTGGGAGATAGTCCTGTAGGTGCGGGGGCTACTCATCCGAATCAAGGCCCCGAACTCCCGAGCTTCACGCGGATACCGGAAATTTTGCATGCCAACCCCTCGGACACGACGCTCCGTCGCCATCTGCATCGTCTGAACAAGGCCTAAAAAGACCTGGTTGTCCTTGTACAGACCGCTGGCCACGCCACGAGCGAACCGCAAGTAAATGCCTAATTCACTCCGCTGGAATTCGGTTATTCGACTGAAGTGAAAGAAAGCAAGAGAAATTGATACCTCAGCAAGGAGCGCCTCCAGACCCTTGTATCTTGCCACGAGCGTCGATTGTATTGGGTTGTCATATATTTTGGGCGTATACTTCAACTGCTCGTAAGGTTTTTCACGTGTTCGATTGATTGCAGTTCGGAATTCACGACGCAGAAAGACATTCCAGCACTCTGGACACACCACAGCATCATCCTCAACTGCGCTTGCTGAGGTGACTGTGAATTTGACACGACAGCGCGTCGAGATCACCGATGCGCGATGGGGAGATGTCTCGATACGCCAATGATTATCCAGGGCCTTCTTATGATAAGCAAGCTGCCGGTCCCCTTCCGTCAACCTCGAGTCCCGAATTGATGTAATCTTCCGCTTCTTGAAGAGGGCTGCAACATAGTGATTGATGGGGTGAGCCCCGCCGCCGGTCGCTGGGCAATTGTCGATGTAATAGCCAATGCGGGGATGAATTATTTGTGTCAGGCCGGGGCAGAACTTCTCAAAGCTGGTTTGTTTCGGCTTATAGACCACCAACGTTGAGGGTGGTGCGGAAGCCGCGGCGGCCTTGGTGGTGAAGAACGTTGTAATGGATCGAGTGCCAGCGGCAGCCGGTACGGGGGGTTTTTTACATGCTCCTTTATTCCAATGTTCAACGAAACGACGAGCTTCATAGACAGCCTTCAACTGGACGGGTTTCAGACAGCGGGAGCAAATGACTTGTTTGGGGTTATTAATATCCAAGCCCGGATTCGGATCACCTCCGTCTCTACATTCCTTCCTCAGTTTCTCCAGTCGCTTCTTGCTGCCTCGGTATAGGCCCCACTTGATCAAGATGGCGACGACACGATCATGCTTTGCGCTGTCGCTCTTGCCCCCGATGCGCAAGGAGTCTTTGATCTCTTGCTGGACGTCGTAGGGAATATTCGAACGCGCAGTGAGTGGCAAGCATCTGGGAGGGGGAGCCGTCGAAGGGTCGCCGCTCTGTGCCATTGGTGCACCCTTGTTCTTGGCCTTGGTATTCTTGTGAGGCTCAGAGCGAGTCGATGGTGTAGGGTGAGTGTTTTTCTTACGCTTCCCTGCTGGCACATCCTCAAGCTCGTCCTCGGTATCCCTTCCGCGCTTTCTAGATGCGGAAGGGTCAGGTGTATCTGTATCCTCCTCCTCCTCGAACGACCTGACGAGGGCGGCGAGGTCCGTGTCCTCAATTCCTGCTGCTGGCTCACCAATGTCGACATCATCTACAGTGGGTTGAACTCGCGCATCTGCTATCTCATCCAGATCGATGCAAGGTATGTCTGCACCTGACCGAGGGCCCTTGGATTTGCATTAGTGCGTGCCTCTCAGATAATTTGAATGCATTACTCACGTCTTCTTGGTAGCTCACGATCATGGATGCAATGACGCAAAACGCGCGGTATCGGGATGTGCGCGCATGGCCAGGATTCCAAAGGTCATCTCCGAGAATGTCATGCGCAAGAGCATTGGGTGCGATGATTCCGCAGTTGAAGCCGTCTTCTTGCAGGCCACATGGTAGGTCGTCCGTAACCTTCACGTTTTCGAGGCCAACTTTCTTTTCTAGCCAAACTACCAGCTGGTCCGACAGAGCCTTTGGATGTTTCTTTCGCAATGAGTCCGCAAACTGAATTCGTGATTTTGGAATGTCAATCCGGCATGCTGCCCAGTGGACAGGTGGAGAGTACAGAGGGAACAAGAGGGAGCGGGGAGGCGACGGAGACGTAAGCAGGTGAGTGTACTTTGCTACCAGTGAATATCCTAGGTGGTGTGTGTCGGTGGCAGCCCCATCGCTGATATATGTGGCGAGGAAGGTATCCGCGAGAAGTACGCTGCTCGATGAGCCATCACGAGACTTTAAACGGTTCCCGATGTCTCGAACCAAGGCGTCCACAACGGCGTCCGAAAGCCAATTGTCTCCCAACACCTCCGCCAGCCGCTCGAAGGTCAGGTCATGCAATCCACATCCAACCCTCCCGCTCCAGCCGGTCATTGACGTGAGCAGCTTTAAAGTGCGATCCCTCCACTTTGCTTCTTCTGGTTCCTCATCATCATGGTGCTCCATAATCCAGGACATGGCGCTGTCCCAAAAATGCCAGCTGAGTGCAGCCTGCCGAGCACGCTCTGCATATGACAGAAAACAGAGCGGGAGGTAACGTATGTTTTTGACATCGCGTGCGTCACGAATCGATATATTCCCGTCCAAAAATGCCTGACCGAAGTCCTTGTGCAAGCGTTGGATAGTGCTTTGTCGCAACAAGGGGATTTCCGCCAGAACAGCAGGGATAAATGTGGGCTCTGCAGTGTCGAAAGCCATGTCGGCGAAATCCTCAACACCTTCCTCCATAGCATCGTAGATGGGGTTCCACACGGGAAGACTATTGTGCATATGAAAATCCGCAGGCGATTGTAACGGCGAGGGAAGCGTAGAGTCGATTTCTGGTGGCATGCGGCGGACACGCTCAACTTCGACGGCAACGCAATGTGGTACGTCCTTGAAGCATCGGTCACAGGCAATCCATTCTGAAGCATTCCACTCTGGATTACGGCGCTGTAGGTCCTCGTCTTCGATAATGTAGTCGTCCATCGCACGTAGAGTACTAGTAGTGGTTGTAGTTTGTGCTTAGATTGAATATTTTCAATCGGTGGCAGAATTAGTGGACTAATAGTATTATTTTCGGTCTGCGTGGGATGTCTAGCAATGGAGTGTAAAGCACATTGATTTACGGTGGCCTGCGGCCACTGAGGACGAGGACAACATCAAAATTTCTTGTCCGGATTTGGTATCCAACGTCGTCAGCCCCTGCCATCTTGTCCGGACTTGAGATCCAAGTCGTCCGGCTCGAGGGTCATTTTTGTCCGGATTCTGATCACACCTATTGACCATTTTTCAAAATTTTGTCCGGATTCCGGTATCCTACATCTTGGGGTATAAACCGGGGTCCTCATGTAGACGGTTCGTCAAACGTATTGTCGCTGCTGGCGGTAATGTTCCCTATTACGCGTAGTGAGCAGACTCGTGGGACGCAGAGAGGGGGCTGTTGCTGCCTTGAGGCTGGTAAGCGACTCCTTTGATGTAAAATCTCGACCCGTCGTCTGTGTAGAGGTATCGTCCTGTGCGAGTGACTTTGGAAATACCGCTAACAGCAGCCACAAGAGACAAAACAGCAAGGAGCATTTTCAAGAAGGTGGTGTGAGATGCCAAAGAGACTAAAAATAGTACTGCAAGCGGATGTCCACCAAAACGGTCCAACTCTTCAAAAAACACGAAGAATATTTCAGTAGTAGTGTAGACAAAGAGATTATAGGAGCAAGAGAGCCTGAAAGCAAGGGTAGACAACCCTGCCATTACATTAGTTACTTTATCAGAACCACTTGCCAGTGCCCGCCTAGCTCAATCGGATAGAGCGTCAGACTCTTATGTCTAAAGGCAGGCAGGTATCTGAAGGCTGCGAGTTCGACCCTCGCGGTGGGCTAGTTGATTACTTTTTTTGATTACTTTTTCTTTTGAAATCTTTGCAGCTTTACATGGATCATTCAGGTTAAAAGTTAACAGGCCGGCCACACGATGCGTGAGCTGCTGTCTCCTGACTAGTTCTCTGGCAACTAACGAATACTGGATTGAAAAGCGTCGAGCCTCTTCTTCCATTTTCTTAACCATTCCTTTTCAAATTAGACCAGCGTACGCGTTTGCGGCCAAGGCTGCGCATCATTTTTCTATTCATCCTGGGTCGCTTATGTCTAGTGTCTCTCAGCCGCAATTGCTGCAGCGTGCGGGTTCTTCGGATCCTTAGCGTAGGTCGGAGCTGTTCAAGGTCATTGCGTCAACCATAGTCATTGTTATGCGAAACCAACTGTTGACGTACTTCGAATGGCCATGTCCTGCAGCTTCGAGATGCCATAGAGCGACACAGCGGCCGCAACCATGAAAGGCCAGAGGGGTTTAACGATCTAGAGATGCCAGGGAATGCATAAGTGACCAGTGGAATTGGCATTGCGAAGGTGACTCGCTGGTGTCGGCCATTTGCGCCAGCCAAGGAAAGCCATGTTGGAACTAATCTGCGGTTCGCGTGAGATGTAGATGGGTTTGCGTTATAGGCGGCATAGACGTACTGCAGGTACGGTGGATGTTTACGGGTCAGACCGCGAATGCTTGTTTGTCATTTTACAGGGTGCCAAACAGTAGGTGAGGGTAAATTGGCAGTAACCATTTCCTAGATGCATGCTCCGATACAAATGTTCTAAGATCCTACATACACAACACAGTGTCCCATATATATTCATGCAATTTTCCATGCCCAGCAAGGTCCTATCAAAAAAAAAATCACCAGCCATATCTCAGAGTAGATAGGAATTGAAACATACCCACGGGATCCGCGCTCGAATGTTCTGCGCCGGTCCACAACCCGATAATACCGATAGCTGACCCAATGTCACCAATTTGCACACTCTCCGACACCCACTCTGGATCTGAACCTGCCTCTTCGCTGGAGGTCTACATGCATATATACTCAGCACCACGCATCAGTGACAACGGCGCACGCACCATGCTCCAGCGCACCGCGCCATCACCAATCATGCGCACGGTGCCTGCGACTACGCGTCGCAGTGTCTCATCCGTGTCCGTCCCACGCGACTCTCCCGCGACGTGGATGATCGGCAAGCGGTAGATTAGCGCGCAGGGGTTCGCGCCCGGAGGGGGACGTGGAGGACGTGAGTAGCGCACAATACGGAGTGTCATGGGGAAGATACGAATCGTCTCTTGCACATCGTCTATCCCAAAACCGGCTGCGATATCAACCTGGGGAGGGTCAATGGATGCCGAGGGTATTGGAACAAGAACACCCACATTGTGCGAAACAAGGTCACGGTAATCGAGCCAGCTCACGACTCGCCTGATTGATGAAGTAGTCCGAAAACATGTTGAAATAGTTGAATTAGAGACTCACCTCCACTCGCCTGCGGCGCCAGCCCAGTCCCATCCGTCTACGTCATCTCCCTCCGTCGCCTTGCCCTTATCAACGGGCGAAGGCGAAGTTTCCTCGTCGTCACCCTCAGGCTTCTGCGGACGCCAGACATCCCAAAATCCGGGTGCACCACCCATACGAACGAGATCAAGCGACTGCATCGCGTCAACAACCTCGTCTAGTTCAAGGCCAACGTCAGCCGCTGCTAATTGAGATGAACTATGCGTATGAAAATGAGACTCGATGTCGAAAAAATCGCGCATATTGGCTTCCAATATAATTCGCGCCGCGGCAAGGAAGGCGTAATCCGGTACGACACGGTGAGGCGCGGGAAAAACGTATGTCGGATGCGTTCTGTTGTCGGCGAAGTTAATTCCATGACTGGAAAGGAAGTGAAGGAACTGAGGGGTATCGTGCCAGTCATTGGCGCCGACTGCGTCAGAGTCCGTGTCATCCGGGTTGTAGTCCGGGTCGTCAATATCGTCGTCAGAGTCGAGGAGTGAAGGGGTAATCACGATAGAGGACGGGTGGAGGTGGAAGTGCCGGGAGCTGGAGGCCGACCGAAGAGCAAGGTTTACATCCTGGGAGCCAGACTCGGCAGGAATGAAGCGGGAGAGGCGGTTGCGCCATGTGTAAGCATTGGGGTGGGCTGGGTCGAGGGGCTGGAACGGCCCCCAGCAGCGCTCGGGCATGAGGTACTTGGTGTTGTAGACGCGGGTGCGGGCAATAGCGCGAGCAGTCGCGTACTGATGCTCGACTGACGGCGCAGGATCACTTGGATCTGGAATGAATCCCCTCCAGAAGGTCAGCTTGTTGAAAGCCTTACCCTGGAGTGTGTCTTCGAATTCAGGACGATTAAATAAGGGTCCTTCAGGTTCGAATGAACCCAAAAGGCGCTTCGTAAGTTGCGGGGGGTACCCACTAACCAACACCTGATCGAGCCAAGAAATACTCTTGGTGGGTACATCCTGTCGGTGTAGAAGTGGGGGGAATGAAAGGGATTGGCCACGTTTCACTGGATCGAGATGGCTTGCAGGAGGGATGGGTGCTGCAGTCGCAACGACATCGACCAAAGTCTCGAAGTCACACGTAGGATCGCCTGCGTGCAGAGAGTTGGCAGCAGCGATGCGACGAGAGAAATTATTCCAGTCATATGCGAGATGAGTGGGGCCAGAGTCCCCGGGGGCGGATGCCTGTAAGGCTGTTTTGGGGCGAGGATCGTCGAAGACAGCGAGATAGAGGTCGCGCCAGACGGAGTGGACGAGATCGTGCAAGAGGCGGCAGCAAGCAGCCACAGCGGCGACAGTGTTGGGTGAGCCGCTGCACACTGTCTCAACGAGAACTTGCTCCATGAGCTCTGGGGGAAGTTGAAGCAAGGACATGGTGGTCGTTAGTAATTGACCTGCATTGATTAGGAAACACTGATAACGGTATTATCACTATCCACCAAACGTACCCAACCTTTGAGTTGAATGCTAGAGCTAGAGAACTGGCAGGAAATACTACAGGCAGAGTTGGACGGAACGCGGAGCTGAATATTTTGCGTGCTGTGATTCGGCTGACTCCAGAGTCCAGACAAGGCTCGCAGTAGCTCTCAGTGCTGCGTAGCGAGAGAACTGCAGTCGACGTGGAGAAGGTCAAAAGTGAGCTCGAGAACGGGGAAGGAACCGATGTTTGGCACCACCGATCGGGACTGTATATCCCTCCTCAGGCCTCAGGTCTTCTAAATTCTCCGAATCTGTTATGAATGTCCATTAAATAATACAGCACATAACCGTACATGTCTTCGTTACCTCCCGCCGCACCCGCAGTGAGCAACTTTTCCCGTTTCACCGTGGCTCGTCATGACCGCACATAGTGGCGCAACTTCCCCTTCTTCGATGTTGTCCCTGTCAAGGACGCCAACGACCTCAACGCGTCGCCTGAGATAGTCAAAACAACGACCGAAATATCTACGATCCTCGCCTCCTCCGCGGGTGTTCTCCTTGCTGACATCTATGGCACGGTCCACATATTAAACAAGGAATTTGAAGCCCAGCGAACGTGGGTCGCTTACGATGGTGGCCGCGTAACCCACATGGTGGAACGACGCGGTGTTCTTGTGACTGTCGGGGTGCGTACGCGTACATGAGTCCACGAACGCTGTCACCCTGAGCTCATCATTCGCCAGGAAGACGAGTCCGCTCGCGCACCACTTCTCAAAATATGGGACCTCGAGAAGAAAGCTACAGCACCACCACTGCTCCGTTCAACCAAGATTCAGCTCACTAAACCTCACCCCGTTTGTACCATGGCCCTTTCCGCTTCCCTCTCCCATCTCGCAGTTGGCTTTGCGGATGGTAGCGTCCTTCTATACCGCCACATCGACCAGTCTATTAACAATAATACCGCACTCCTCAAGCCGCGCACCGTACACGACTCTCCCACGGAACCCATCACTGGCCTCGGCTTTTCAGGGTCCAAGTCCTTGTTCGTGGTCACCACCAACCGTGTGCTTTCCTATCAAGTCTCTGGCGCCGGTAGCGGTGGAAAGGCGACTGTCGTCGACGATGTTGGCTGTGGTTTGGGCTGCGCTGTAATGGACTGGCGAGGACGTGACGTCGTGGTTGCCCGGGAAGAGGCGATTTATGTCTGCGGCGTCGAAAGCCGTGGCGCATGTTACGCCTACGAGGGTCAGCTCTTGGATATCATTTTGGCTTGAATACTGAATTACCGACGAATTCAGGCCACAAGTCCTTCGTGCGGTCGCATCTCAATTATCTTGTTATCGTGTCCCCGCCTATCACTGCGACAGCTTCCGCTGCTTACCGCACTGTACGCAACTTTGCCGCCCGTAACGGATCCGATACCGACATCACAAGAGTGGCCGTGTTCGATCCCGAAAACAAAATCGTCGGATACAGCGGCACATTTACCCAGGGTGTCCGTGATGTTATTTCCATTCCAGAGTGGGGCGGTGTGTACATTCTGGGCAACGATGGCACTGTAAGCCGCCGCTATCTATCTGATACTAAACTTAATTATTCTTGCAGCTTGCGCAACTTCTCGAAAAGCCATTTTCTGCCAAGCTTGATATGCTATACCGGAGCTCAATGTACCCCGTCGCTCTGAACCTCGCCAGGACACAAGGCTTGGAGGACTCGAGTGAAACCGTCGCGGGTATCCACAAGCAATACGGTGACCACCTGTACAACAAGGGTAACTGGGACGCCGCCATGGCTCAGTTTGTCAAGACCATCGGGTGGGTTGCACCGAGCTACATTATCCGGAAGGTTTATTGTTCTGTAATTCGTGCATTCTTTGTTCTCATCCTGTCGCAGTACCTCGATGCCCAACGGATCCACAACCTGGTCACATACCTGCAAGAGCTGCACTCATTGGGTCGAGCAAATTCGGATCACACGACGCTCTTGCTCAATGCGTACACTAAGCTAAAGGATGTAGCGCGCCTGGACGGATTCATCAAGACTGAGTCTCGTCGTGTGGTCTCTGACTCAGGCGAAAAGACC